GCATGTTTTGTCTAATTTCTCAAGACTTACACGCAGACAATAGTATTCTGCATTGATTACTAGTACATGCACTATTCAGCTATTGATACTGCAATACATCTCTAGCTCTGTGTACTGGATCTGTCCAATACAATCCAATCTTTTCTAATCATATTGATTTCTTTTTCCCCATCTTTCCTTTTGCTTTCCTTTTTATTCAATCATTTGACAACCACGTACATTCCTTTTGGTTTAATTTTCTTCCCATCTGGACAACTACCTTTTGTATTACTTTAATTTCATTCATGCTGCTTTCTGGATGTTTGGTCTGCCGCCGCCGCCGCCATGTTGGTTGTTCCCGCGCTAGCGTCTAACTCGAGTTCCGGGGAGGGCTGGTCGTACCTGGAAGTGGACACCCCAGGAAATAGTACGGTCTTTTTAACTTTCCTACTCATAATATATCACACCCTCTGCATGAAGTACATTTGTCTATCACTATTCTCAGTCCTGTAGCTGTGAGTCGTAGGGGCAGTAAGTCTGTGTGTCCACAAAAGTCCTGTGATGGGTTCAAAACACATTTTCAGACATACATGTACATGTAGATCATGCACAGATTTAGCTTGGTATCTATCTTCCAGTCTATGTCCAGTCTGTTCTTAAGAGTATTGCTCTCCTCCACAATAATTTGACAGTCATACTCTTCAACTAATTTCTTCTCACAGTCACATCATCTGCATGAACTACATTCTGTAGATGGGTATGAAACAAAGGTAGCATTTTCAATACATGTGTAAGATCACGGTCGAAACAACCATATCCATGTATGTGTAGTGTTACACATTTAGCAAACAGAACACATGATTTGGCAAGGTTTTGAAAATATAACCACATCATAGCATTAGAATTTTGTCTGTAGCAAATAGTATCTTTTCCAACATGACATTTAGAAATATAGACATGACGTCACCCTTGAATGCAAGAATAGTACCTAAGCGAGTCATTTTGCCAAAGCGCTACATGTACAATACATTACGGGTTATGCGCAGCTGCAAACATGTATAAACATGGATGAGTCCTGGCCATGTTGTTCAGAACCAGGACAGAAGGACCATGTCTCCTCATCAAGGCTAGGTCCTGTTGCCAGCCAGAATCAATATTTGGGTAATTCCGTACCAGCTGGGTTACACTGGTGTTTAATCATGGGGGCAGCACAGGCTTGGCTTATGGATATACAGTCAATAGGTTGTTACAAAATGAATGACTGGACCATTTTGTTCCCAGACTTATAGTAGATCTAATCAAGGGAATGGATTTAGAAGGAAAATTGTTGCTTTATTACATTTGGATACTAATTCTACTAATTTCTAGGTATACATGTATCATATGTATCTTTTCATGTAGAAATGGCCAAATGTGACCCACAATATAAATGGTTGACTTGTAAGGGCTTGATTTAGGAAGTTTTCTTTGATTAGTTTTGCCTGTGGATGGGGACTAGCTTGTTTTCAAAAGGGTGGAATCGATTTAAAAGCAGGAATGTTATGACCACAGGTATTGTCAATTCAATTTTCAATTTATTCAATTAGACAAAATCATACAAAAGCAGGGGTTGACTAATGCACCCCTGAATTGTGCATTTGATTTTTACAAACATACAAAATTACAGTAATGTAAAGGTAATGGCCCTTTTTGTTCAGGTGTGTGAGTTTCTAGCTCTGATCTTTGCTATGCTCTCAACAAACAGAAGGGTCATTTGAGGTCACCAACCTTTGACCTGCTGTGTTAGTCAGACAGGTAAATGAGGTCACCTGTGAATAAGTTAACCTTTAACTAGGCTCCACACCTTTACCTGCTGATGTGTCAGCCACTAAATATCACAGGATTTAAACAAACTCCTGTAGAAAACTGTGTGCTTTGTTCTTAGCACAACCAATGTCAGCCTGTTTGAGTTAGAGTTAGAGTGGAAGAAATTTTATTGACGTCGTTACTCCGTTGGTCTGGAACCTTAGAAGCAATATGGCGGAAGAAGGCATGTTGGAAGAACACATCTATTCTGTTGCAAGTATGATATCTCAACTACTACTACTAGATAGGCTAAGTACTGTTCATGTTAGTGTTTTATTTTGTGTTATTGGAAGTGGTCTAGTCAACAATGAGGTTTCAGACAAGTTGAAAGCTCCTTGAAATTGCTTGAATGGACGTTTGAAATTTTGGAAAGAGGTATGGGATTTTATGCTTGTGGTCACAAAATGTGCTATTTTGATCAAGCTACAATGTACATATGAGCAGTGCATTGAAATGTTACAAGCTGTACAGTAGTTTGCTTGTGGTAGACATTTTTATAGACGATGACCCAACGGTTTGAAGAATTACTCAATTATACTTGTCAGTGGCTACTGCCATAGTCGAGATACTGTAAATTGTGAAATATTACCATTGGTCTTACAACGTATGTTCATGAACTCAATGCACCAAGAATTACAATTCTATAACATTCAATAATATTTTGCATTACCTGTAACATTAACAGTAATGTTTCAACTGCAAAGTCAAAATGCACTGCAATAGACTGGAGTCATTTCCCCAAATTTAGTCCCTGGCACAAAGTTAAAACAATTTACGGTATTTCTTGGCATCAATGTCTAGTGCGCAAAGCAATTTCACAAAGTGGGATCCCGCCCTGCCATAGCCCAAGGGACAGTAACATTTCCTATGGTAATTTCTTACCATAGGAACCTTCCTTACATGACAAAGACTCTTACGGTTGTTGAACAGGTTTTTCTAGTCCTGTACATTGAGTGAACCGTTCTTTTACATGATAAAGTTCTTACGGACCTTGTTGTTTAACCGTTTTTTCTAGTTACTTGTATATAAGAGTGAATCGGTTCTCTGTTCAATTGTGACGCTGAAGAAGAGTGATGGATGTCACTCGAAACGTCCGGAAATAAATCCGTTAACTGATCCAGTAGTAGAGTTTGAATTTTCTTACGAGTAAAGTGCACAGTGGTTTGGATGGATAATTTATCATAGTGCAACATGCAGTCCCAACGGTGAACATATGGGAACTTGAGTCTTCCATTTGGACATGGCAGCAAATGATAAATGTGGAATTTTAAAAGGAAATTTTGAAGCAGGCTTAGTGGAAGATCATAGAATTGATCTGCAGTTATTTCCCAAGTTCCCTTGTTACCAAGACATACATGTATTCATAGAATTTCATACGTAAATTATTAATATTTAAGACTGATAATACAGTACGTAATCTTTTGCATGCAGCATGCTAATTGCATGATTCAAGGAGGAAAATGCACAACATATCTCAACTCTTTTGGCAATTGTACATGTACATTGTTATATACAATAATGTACTGTCAATAATTGGTTTAATTTCATGAAGACATAATATTCTGTAGTAGAAGGGGTAAGGAGGTATTTTAACTTAAAGTTCTGCAGTTGAAACAACTCTAGAATGTTATGTAATGAAAGAGCATATTTGCACAGTATGATGATTACAAAATGTGTTTTGGCAAAACTGGAAACATAAACTATGGATATTTTACGATTTACAGCAATAAACATTTACTTAATAGTTTAAGTGTTGTTTTTAGGGAAGCTGGACTGAGCTTAAAGTATTTGCATAACAATAGAAAGATATTTTGTTTTTTTAACAGAAGATGTTGGAACTTGTTATGGATTTTTGTGGACCATTTTGATCTGTGCTCATATTATTTACTTTGGATAGTATGGACTTTAACAGGCATTGTTTGAGACCAATGTAAAAACACTGGTGCCAGGATTTTGGTTTCTAAAACCACCCAATGCCAGCAGCTAAGTGAAGGTGAACAAGTACTTCTTGAGAAAGGAGGCCAGCTCTTGAACCAAGACCAAATAAACAGGTAGTCAAATTCCCTAGAAGGCCACTGACCGAGGGATAAACCATTTATGCTTATGGTGAAGTCAACAAGTTTCTACAAATCTTATTGAAAAGGAAGATTCATTAGCTTTGACTGCATATTGTTTCATAGTTGGCAACTTTGCAATATTAATTGATTCAGTTGTTTACTGTATTTTTAAATGTGCTGGTAAGTTGCGTTGTTTGTGGACCCTCCCAGAGGCCAGACGGATTTTGCAAGATGTTTGTTCAGCCTCGGTGTTTGCACAACTGTCTAGGTCTGGGCATGACTCAAGGGCACATGGCCCTGCAGTACCAGTACTGTGCCATAGGTGGCGTAAGGAACATGTAACAGGTGTCTAGACCAATTGGAGAACAGAGCATACATTTAAGATGACTTTTATGATGCTTTAAATTGTTATAAGTTTGTGAGAACTTCACTTTGTTGTAGAAGGTGATAGGAGACCTTTTCCTTTTTAAAGTTTGCAGTTGAAACAACTATAACTATAAGATTTATGCAATGAATTTACAGGTATAGATGTCCATAGGTCATTGCCAAAGTTACATAAAACCACCCCAAATTATTTTAAGACTTAAGTATTTGCTTTGGTGGTTGTTTTTCTGATTAACTTGAGAAGTGTTAAGCAAATTTGCATACAATGTATGCATTTAAAGCCCAGCAAAATCCACGTAATGTGTCCCTTACAATTTTACATATACAGTTGCAGGTTAAAGTGTCTAGCAACAGTCTATGGGGTGATTGTGTCACCTTAGAACTTGTTATTCAACTTCAGAATAGAAAGAATGATGTCATACACACGGATGTTAGGCTGCACTTTGAGCTAATGGCTAGTCACATGTCTGAAACACCTGATCCTTAACAATAGGGCACCTGAATTACCTGAGACGGGGGTGTGAAAACTGATAGGACTTTTTTTTCCAAGACCCTGAGATCTTTTCTTTGTACGAGACTTTAACTTTGTAGAATGAGTTGCTTAGTTTGTAAGACAAGTGAATTGTTAATTTAGTTTGGGTGAATAGTTTTGGAGTTATTATTTTCTTAGCAGTTGGTCCCCCCCGGTTTGAAAATGACATGTTCTGGTATAGATTGAACCCTTTGACATGAGCACACAACACGTCATTGTGACAGCCGGCACTTGTGAAAAAAATCAGCTGTATCCGTGAACATGTCTGCCGCAAATTCCCACTTCAACTCCCAACATCTGCTACTTCTAAACTGATGTTTATGTTTAAGTTTACGTTTTCCTACAAATGGAGGCATATGAAGAGGACTCGTTTCATATAGAAACGTTGGAAATATCCGATGCTTCGCTAGACTTTGGTCACGGAGAACTTTTGCTGAAAGACCAGAGTCCAAAAAGGACTAACAAAAAGTCTCTGGTGAAAAAAACACCACCTAGGCAGCAGGAGAAAAAGTTCTTCACCAGGAGAATTTCCGATCTTCGAGAGAAAGATGGCGGGAAAGTTGCGTCGGGACAGTCGACTCCAGAGGATGAATACGCGTCTCCGTTTGATTTTAGCACGAAGGCTGTTTATGAGAATTATTTATTCCTAATGCCAGACAATCCACACTCGCATGGGGACGAGATACAGTTGTGTGATGATGATGATGGTCAGAAATTGCAAAGTTACAGTCAGAAATTACCAGGTGAGGTTAGGAAGAGAATGTGTTTTTAGGGGGAGGGGGGCAGTTTGCTGTATATCCATTATGAAGTCCACATGTGACCTGAAGAAGGTTAAAAAATTGAGCATTTTTTTTAATGTCTAATGTTATAGTTTTTGATAATAATATTTCCAGCTTCCTAGAAGCCATGGTTTTAGTTGTTTGAGCCTAAATTTCAATTGATATTGTAGACTGAGCAAGACTTTCGTTTGAAAAAAAGTATCTTCCTGGTTGCAGGACTCTGTTAAAAGTCTTCAATGTGCATGGGTTGTCAAAATCCCTCAAAGTTGGCCCCACAAAATAGTAGGTTGGTTTAGTATGCTCTAATCGTAGGTAATTTTCAGGAAAAGATTATTACAACCTGCAATTTGTAAGCTAGCAAAAGAACAATAGTACTGTTACTGTATATCTAAACAGAACAATAGCAACAGGACAAACGATTTTCCAGCTAACTTAAAATCGTGTTAAAAGTTTGTATGCCTTCTCAGTTATACATTGTACGTGAAGGTTAATATTTAGCAGTTATAGGAATGCAGCTTTCAGCTTAAACAATTGGTGATGACGTTATGTAAACTTCACATTAGGCAGCTGTTGTAGTCCCAAATCAAATACAGCTATTAGCATTGACTGAACTCTTTGTACTTGAAAGTAAAAAATTGCTTTAGGCTTACGTCATTGCAAAGTGCATAGCACATGTACCATGAATATATTGTAACAGCTTTGATTCTAATGGTTTAAACTAATTAGATTTAAGGACCAAAATGTGTGTGACAAGGAATGCAGATGATTCTTTAACTCCATAAGTTTGTTCCCATAGAGTTATCCAGAATATATAGTTATACAAGGTACTATTATATAATTCCTGCTTGTTGCTGAAACTCCATTGTACCAAACTTAACCAATCGTATGCATTTAGTTACAGAAGAGTTGGACTGGGTATATGTATATTCACTTTAATTTTGGGCCTTGGCATAGATATTTTCAACATAGAGGAAACAGTATAATTCACTTACTAGGAGAAAACATTTTCATAATTCAAAAGTGAAACAAGCTCACGTATGACATTGTTGTACATGTTTAACATTTCAAATGTCTCCCACCAATCTTTCTGTTGTGACGAGGGAAATGTAATAATGGAAGCACGTTAACTTTTGACAGTTTCTGGATAAATACGCATCCAACTACATAGCTTGTATGTGTTAGTCATGTACTGATGAAAAGTAGTGGATGCCACTTGAATTTTGAAATGTGTGACTGTTTTCAAAATCTATCCAGTTCTTTGAGTAACAGTTTCTTATCTTTGTTTCTCCAGATGAGCACACCTATGACAACAGGGACAGCGCCTACTCGACCCCTGACCCCACGCAGGACGGCGACCCCCTCTACCAGGACCCGACGGAACTGCAGGATGAGCAGGAGAAGGAGGAGATTAGAGCAGAGCTGCAGAAGGTACAAATAAAAAAGAACCAGCGCTCGAAATCCTTTCCTTTTTTCTGTATTTCTGCACCGGTGTGGGTAACATGCCTGTAGCCAGGATTTTGCTTGGGGGGTTCTTCCCACTGTGTGATGAGGGACCTGCGAGCGCCATAGGCGCAAGTTTCCTAATTTTTGAAATTGAACCTCCTGAAATGGCATTTTCTGCATTTTTGAGAGTGTTTCAAAGGAAAATCAGTGATAACTTTTTGTTAAATCATCCAGGCAAAGTGAGCAGTTTTTTTCAAGGATTCCAGCCCCATACACTTGTGACACAAATCAGTCCATTTTTTAAAGAAAAATATTGGACGTTTAGATGAAAAGTCGACATTTGAGCCTAATTTAGGAATTCCAAATACCAGGGCTTGAAACAAACAATGTGAGTGAGTGAGTGAGTGAGTGAGTGAGTGAGTGAGTGAGCACGGCTCCAATTTTACCAGGTGGTATTTGGAGCCCTGATATCTTTTTGTGTGCTTTTTACTACAGTCAAATCTTTAGCACCATCATGCATAAAGGTTGTTGAGCAAAGAAAAAAAACTTAAATGAATGCTTATCCTTTCTAATGTCCTTTGAATTTCCTTCCCTCAGACTGAAGAAGAGATTAAGACCCTGAAGCAGGTGCTCGCCTCCAAGGAGAGGGCCGCTGCTGACCTGAAGCGACGTCTTGGCATCACACCTCTCAAGGAGTTCAAGGACGAGGCCTCCAAGACTTGGAAGAACGTCCAGTCCTCCCAGGCGTAAGTACCTACAATCACAGCTTCACTACAGCAAGTACAGGATGAAGCAAGGCTTGTTTGTTTGTTTGTTTGCCGTGTTCCAAACAAACAAACAAGCAAGGTTAAAGTTTAGCTTCCAACACACACAGAATTGAACTTATCCAATTTTTTGACTGTAAAATTTCCCATTCTTTGTAAAGGACTGTTAAGGACTGTAATGTGCAATCCACTTCTTCTGTGATGTCATGGCACATGAGTCTTCTGCATGATGTGACTTCACAGAAGCAGTGGACATTGTGTAGCTAAAGGTTAATATAAATAATAATTGAATTTAACAAATGACCTTAGAGGTTTAGTGTAGCATAACAGTGAAAGGTAGGTTTTATTTTATAACTGTGATATTGTAAGTTAGTATGATTTAGATTGCTTACTTAGAAATATTGTATGATTTAGATTGCTTACTTAGAAATATTGTATCAGAATAGTTAGTGTTTTCATCAAGATCTGTCGACTTTACCGAAAACTGACATTTCTATTGAATTATGTATACGAAAATATCAGAAAAATACTCAATATGTGAACTTGAAACATGTTTGTGTATATGTTGAATATGAGTACATTTGTATGCATATATTTATGCTTTTGCATGCCCTTTTCACTTCTAATCTGTCCATCATAATTGTATGTAATGTCTTGCATGTCAATTCTCTCCTTGTCACTTTTCACAACAGACTTACAAATGTATGTGTAAGTTAGACCACACCAATTTGGTACTCAAACATTTTAAAAATTTTGCAAGAGGATAGAATAAAAACAAAATTTGTCAAAAAAAATGTGTACAAATTGTGACACACAGTTGTGCAATCACTACAGCAGGGGGCTAGTCCACTGGTAGTGGTGTGTGTTTAACTCCCAACTCCCATACACACAGGCCACTACAGCAGGGGGCTAGTCCACTGGTAGTGGTGTGTGTTTAACTCCCAACTCCCATACACATAGGCCACTACAGCAGGGGGCTAGTCCACTGGTAGTGGTGTGTGTTCAACTGACTATATTCACTCCCTAAAACTGAACAAAGCTACATTGCACAGATTTTCCCACAAATTTTAAGTGTCAATCGAATTTCCTTCAGCATTTTCTTTGAGAACCAACATCTTGATAAATTGGTGTGGTCTAAAGCTAGCATGCATGCATGCATGGACTCATTTATACAATGCATGATACTTCACACTACAAGAGGGGACAAGGGTTCTTCATTTGGTTTTTGATTTTAACATTAATTTTTAATCATATTTTCACCATGCACCACCCCGTCTGCCCCCCTCCCCCATCTCTGTTCCTTTATGTAGTTATCAGAAAACCAATGAGAAATTTGTGGAGTGGAAAGAAAAAATGGAGTCATCCGAAACGTGAGTGCACAGAGCTCTTGCCTTTAGCGCTACGGACTCCAAGAAATATTCTACTTTTAAGAAAATGGATAGTCTTGTAGCATTACATGAGAGCACTAGCACTAGAAAATCTTTTGTCTAAAAAGACAAGAAAACAGTTGGTAACTGTCTTCAGTGTTACATTTTCAAAGGCGATTTACATGAAAGAAAGTTTAACTTAAAAGTTAAAATTCAACATAAATATCTGATAATCTGTTTTTGTCAAGTCACTTTTAAAGACTACATTTCATATTTTACCCCAGGTTTTTACCATTGCACATTTTGTCATACATCTACATGCATCTTTTTTTATAATTTCGGAAAAAAATTGATACATTTTATATTAATCAATCTTTTAAGGGTACGAAAGCCCCTTTCTGCTTAAAATTGTTTGGTACTTCTATGCATGGAGACTATATATTGTATGATCATAAGAGTTAATGTTTTTGAAAGCTTTTTTCAAGAGTTCGGTGGTATTGTTATAACTTTTGGGGAATGTTTGAGACCATGTGTCAGGTGTCTATGGATGTGTGACAGACTGGTGAATGTGTGGTCCTGTACCTGTCCCACCAACAATCATTCTGCACTAAAGCACCTCATCTCTTCCTATAACACTGAAACTCATAGTCATATGACTACCAAACTTTACAGTGATTCTAACTGGTCCAATCGCTCCCCAAAATCTAGTTGGCCCCCCCCCCCCCACTGTTTAGTTCGATCTTTCCATCAGATATGTTTTCTTTAACTTCTATCCAAAACATGTCTTGTTTTTAGTATTAGTACGTACTGTGGTCCCTCAAATTTGTAGTTTGATAGCCAAAGTCTTAAACTTTATTATTTGTTTGAAAAAAAATTCCAATAGATTTTGTAGTTAGCTCTGCATGGCATGACCTGTCTAACCCTTGCCCTTTCACCTTTCTTACTAACCTTTAACCTTTAACCTGAATGACCCTGGCTTCTCTGCCAGACTGGCCTATTTCTTTCAGATGACAAGTTTACGCCCAGGGATGGTTCCTCCTCATTCTTTACCCTGTCTTTTACATGTCTGAACTGAACGTTTTTCCTCCAATCTTCAGCTATCAGAAAAACAAAGAAAAGCTATCGGAATGGAATGAGAAGGTCAAAACCTCCGAAACGTGAGTGGTAGACATCCCTGTCAAAGTCTTTGTCCCAAAAACTTTTTTGTTTTTACGTTTCACCACTAATCAAGTCTTCCCATCCAGAAGTTTCCGAAGTTCCCTTGGAAAGTGGAAGACTCAAACTACCACAAATGTAAACCAGGGAAAGTTGGAAACTTCTATACCCATGCATTCCTCTCCTGTACTTGCCATTATATTCTCCTGTTATGTGCCATACTTCATGTCATGCATGTCACCAAAGCTACATGTAGTTGGAAGCGGCGCCTTTCTTGCAAATAATGCTTACTGCAACAGCCACATGACTAAACCGATGCCCAATCGGGTAGTATAGTCAGGCTGTAGTTTTGAGTGGTGCCCTTGTAATCATGCAGGTGTTGAGCAATTTATGTGGCAAATTCGAGCACGAAATAGCAGCTGCTGTTAGACCCAACAAGCCCTGCACAAGATTTCAAATTAAAGAAAAAAATTGTCATGATGTAACCCAACATATGTTACCATGACGACAGACCTCTGGTTTAGGTCATTGACTTTATTTGTTTGGAGAAGAAGAGGAAGAAGAAACAGAGCAAAAACAATGTGTTTTTCTTCTGTGAAGGTAAACATAAAAATGGAAAAATAGCTTGTAGACTACCCGGTAGGGCATTGGCTTGGAAGCGTGGCTTTAGCATGTGCATTTGATGAGAGTTTTAACCTGTCCATAGAGACTGTTGGTGGGAAGGTAGGGTGGACTGTGGTGTTTGTGTGAGTGTTGTGGTGGTATTAACACATACAATTTAGATACAGCCAGAAAGCTGAATTCTTTTACGTTCATCTGTATGATCATGTCGGCAGAACATACTACATGTACAAATGTACATGTAAGTACTGGGCCTGGGTGAAACCCAGATTTTTCATGGGTTTTTACTAGATGTTTGGGCAACGTTACATCAGGTTTTTGCATGTTGCAGACAATTTTTTTTCCAACACATCCTTGAATATGCTAATACCTCCTTAAACAAGATGTTCTATTCAAGTGCTATGCACAAGACATTACAGGTTTCATACCAGGCGCAGTACGTTCTGCTGACATGCTCTCTGTTTGCAGTGAACTTAGCAATATATGTGTAGAAATTTTGTACTAAAATATGCCACATTTAAACTTGCCACATGTACCGATACTTCATGTTCTATCTATTATTGCTGTCATATCCTACAGTATTTATTATTAACAGGCGACACTTTAATTCCGGACAGACACTCTAATTCCGGACTACCTCTCACTTTTCAAGCATAGTTTGTCCTGGACAATTGACATTCCATATTGTGATGTAGAAGATGACAACAACTATGTAGATAACAATGATAGTTCCCTAGGGATCAGGTTATTTCTGCAGATTTCTGCAGAAATCTGCAGAATTCTGCGCAGAATTCTGCACCCCGCGCAGATTTCTGCACAGAATTCTGCGCTGGGTGCAGAAATCTGTGCAGATTTCTGCAGAAATCTGCTTTTTTAAGGATTTGTCCTACAAAATGTATCATTATGGTGATAAGTGGTAGATATACTCTCCTACAAATGCTACAATCAGGTTACATGTATTTTGGGCATAACTTGTCGGAAATGCCCAGCTTTTGCCAAGTGCCCTGCAATTTGCCATGGGGATAGCTTTGCACTGTATGTTGTTCTTTCTTTTCATTTCTTGAAAAAATTGTGATATTTAAAGTAATTTATGAAGTAAAACAATTCAAAAAGTGATGATGAGCTATACACATTACAGATGAGGACATACAACGTAACAGACGTAATTCTTTGAGCTATACAGGCAAGCATAAGACCAGATCCCGTAACCAGCTAGCCTGAGTGTCAGCCTTTTTATCTTTCGTCTACTCCCCACTATGCTACCTGTAGAGTGTGGGGAGCGGACGAAAGCTACAAAGGCTGACACTCGGGCTAGTACCCAGCATTATCAGTTGAATGAACCATTAGGGAAATTCCATTGACACACGGCGAGAAATCTGCAGAATTCTGCAGAAATCTGCAGAATTCTGCAGAATTCTGCACAGATTTCTGCGCAGAAATCTAAATTTTAAAAAAGATTTCATACAATACTGTGAAATTGTCCCACAAAATGTATCATTATGGTGATAAGTGGTAGATTCATCCCCTAAATGCTACTATCACTAGTACACCCCACCCCCATAGTTTCAATGAAGTCTCTTAATCGGAAAGTCGGGTAATTGAAAAAAAATGTGCTGACAAATTGGCTTTTCAAATAAGCTGCTTCCACTGTATCAGCTTATTTTGGGTAGTTTTATCAGTCCAAGTATTCCCAGGCCGAACAATTCATAGAGGCATATTTGGCTATTTGTAACAAATTGCAGGGTATTGGGCTGCCAATAAAGTGGGAGAAAAAGCAGAAATATATGCATTTCCAACTATTTGGTTGGGAAATACTTACTTTTGCTTGCAATTGTTGGCCTTTTAGTATACTTCTGATTTACAGATCTATGGTCAGTTTAACAGGAACTTGATACACCCACCCCTGTCCAATGATTTTGGATTTGGCAGAAAGTGTCAATCAGACAGAGAGACCACATGTTGAGTACCCAGAGTATGCCAGGCTGAATCCCTGGACAGCTAGTCTGACCTCATTAGCAGACAGCATGCTGGACTAAAACAACACAGACTTACCAGGCTGATTCCAGGGATAGCATGTAAACTGCAATTTTCCATCATTACCTCG